TATATCTTGATATAGTTATACTATATAGGTATGTATAGTATCTTGATATAGGTGTATATATATATATATATATATATATATATATATATATATATATATATATATATATATATATATATATATATATATATATATATATATATATATATATATATATATATATATATATATATATATATATATATATATATATATATATACCATAAATGCCTGTATAGTAGTTAGAACTTTTTATATAACTGTATAACTGAGTATTGGTGTACTTTAAAAAAATATGTTATAATTTACGGTTTTTTAAAATAGAAAGAAAAAGAAAAAGAGCTATGGAGAGTTTCCCTACAAGTTTGGCAACAACTGACGGTCACTCAAACAAATATAAGTTTTCGATCGCAATCAAAGAATCTATTTATGGATCACGCTATTGAATAATAAATAAAAAATTTCTTTCCTGAAAAAAATAAACTTACACAAAATCGAGATAAACGAATCAAACTTCTTCCAAAACTTCTAAGTAAGAGTAATCACTTGTTTTATACTTGTTTTTTACGTTTATGATTATATTTTTGATTTTTGTAAGTGTAATAACATTTTTGTATATATTAATAATATGTCTTGTAGAATGTGTGTTAAGAAATGTTTAGAAATGTGTAAACTAGTGAGAATAATGGTATCATAGACATATAAATGTCGACATCCTTAATAATATCATACCTTCCTATGCTAATGAAGATATTTTTTTAAAATGGATTTTCCAACAAGTCAATGACCCAAAACACATTAGTTACAAGGCAACGGAGTGGTTTTAGGTCAATGGGGTTGCGGGTATGGAGTGATCTGCTCAGACACCCAACCTAAATCTTATTAAAAAACCAGTTTCTGCTGCTAATCCAACTAATACTCAGCAGTTATAGGTAGATATTCCACAATAGCTTTCCATAAACGCCTACTTTAATGCATTGGTGTTGAGAAACAGTTACTTAAAACAAAGGTTTTGCAACAAAATACTAAGGATAAATATTAATATGTTAAACTTTTTTTTAACTTTCTAAAAAATAGTTATTTTCAGATACTACTTAATTTTCAGCCACATCTACTATTTCAATGAGTGCAACCTTTTTTAATATTAATGTTTTGTTTCTGAAATAAAATGTAAAACTACTATTGATGTAGTTTTTTTATTCTAGTAGATTGAAGTGTCAAAATAAATATAATAAATTTTTTTCAGTAATTAGTAAAAAAAAAATTGCTCAAAAGTACTCAAAAAAGTTTTTTTTTAATTTTATTGAACACTTTTCATGCTTATAACTGTAATAATTAATGCTACTTCTGGGTTAGTTGATCCAAAAAAATGTTTATTAAACACATATGCTTCTCAAATTGTTTATTGGGAGTTTCCTTTATTATACCAGTACGCAGTGGGCCAGTGATCGGAAAAAATACCGAAAATTAATATTTATGGAAACTTTTTTTTTGCAAAATTTTAAAAGTAAATACCCCATAACAAAATAATCTGATGTTTTAATATTTTAATTTTTGTTTAAGGAGTCTTAGGTAAGTTTTTAAGCTCGTCTATTTAATAAACGTTTTTATTAAAAAAACAACAGAAAAAATACTCATAAAATTGAATTTCACCTCGTAAGAGCAGTTTTCTTTAATTTATTAAAGTTTTATAATCTCAATATCAGGGATTTTTGCTTTATTATAGAAAACTTAACAATATGACTTTTTTCTTAACTTAAAATATGGCAGTAAAAGTATTAGAAAATATAATTAAAAGGTTATGATAAAAAGCTCAAAATTTGTTTTGCCCACGTTTCTCGACTACTAAACAATTTAACAAAAAATGGAATAAAGTAAACTGACACAAGGTGGATTAAGCACATTAAATGCATGGATTAGATGCTTTGAATGCTGCCTTCATATAAGTTATAAAATTGAATTAGTTAAGTGGCAAGTTAGGGGAGAGGATGATAAAGAAGTTGTTATAAAAAAAGATTATTGATCAATAAAAGATGAAAGATCACTTAGGTTTAATTGTAGATGTACCAAAAAGCAGACGATGAACTTAAAAAGTATATTAAAGAGACAGTTTCTCTGTACCTATGGTTCGCAATACCTCAAATCGTACATAAAATTCTAATTCATAGTTCTCAAGTTGTAAGAGATAAACTATTACCAGTAGGTCTTCTTTCTCAGCTCAGGAATGCCAAAATAAAAACGTTAAAAATTAAAAAGAACACTATACGAGAAAAAATTTAAGAAAACTCACTAATAAAGATGTAATGCGAACATTATTGTGCCGTTCAGATCCAATTATTAGCTCTCTAAGAAAGAGTTTGAGATTTATTAAAAAACTTGAGAGAAACAAAGATTGCATTAAACTTTTGTATTAACTTTTTTTAATTTTAAGTTTGGCAAATTTTTACTCTGATTTCTGATAAAATATCTATTAAATAAATGTTTCTTTGTTTATTAAAGGGGGTCTAACACTTCACAAACATTGTAATTAATTAATGCTTTGTATCTGGGAAAAACTGCTTCTAAAAACAATCAAAAGTTATGTCTAAAATCCCTAAGGCCCTATGCACCGTTTTATTAGGGTGTTTAGGGTGCCTGTATCTACAAAAAAAATTTTTTTTTTAAAAACTGATTTTTATGATGACTAGAGTCACTGGTAAAAATTTCAATTCGACAACTTTAAAAATAAAGGAGTAAGGATTTTTTGTCCATTTTATGTCGGTCCTGGCCTATTGTGCAGTACCCAGACAGCAAGCTTACATTGGCTTAATGTAAGTTTTAACATTGGCAAGTTTATTCCGTTGGGCCAACATTTAGCCAATGTTTTTTCTTTGGCGTAGTATTGTAATTCTACAAATAGGTTTTTTGTAATTATCGTACTACGTTGGGCCAACATTTGGCCAATGTAGTTTAGGCTTAATATTTTGCTATAAAAATCTGTTCTTACATTTAAGCCGTAGCCAATACTCGGCCAATGTAGTTGCGGATTAGTAAATATTTTCAAAACATTTTTAAAAATGGTATCGTTTGACAGAATAAAAAAAGATTTTGATATTATCTTTCCATTTTTTAAAATTATATATAAAAAAAAGCTATATTTATGAATCTTCTAAGAATCTTAAAAGGTTCGTTATATGAAATAAATTTCAAGAGATTCTCGTGACTTAATGTTTTTTTTTTTTTTTAATAATGAAATATTTGTTAACAGTTAAATAATATACTTAAAACATTTTTTACTACAATGTAATTTATTAATGTAATAATAAAGATAATAATTAAATTATTTTTGTGTAAGATCTTAAAGTTATTTTTTATACTTATTGCTGTATTAGCATATCAAATGTTTGATTTATTTAATAATCTTTATTAAATAAATGTAACATTTCAAATGTTCGATTTATTTAATGAAGAAGACATTTTGTATTCTTCTTTATTAAATATATCAAACATTTGAAATGTCATACAGTATAACTATTAAAAAAAATTTTTTTTCATAATTTATTTATAATAGTTTAGATTATATAGCTATTATAAGATATATTATTAAAGGTATCAGTAATATATATGTGGCATTGAAGTTGTTTGAAGCTGATATTTTACATTTTAAGTATGTCTTTTTTGTTTGATTGTGAAACCCTATCTACTAAAATATCAAAACAGTGTACAAAAAGTGATGTTATTAGAATTTATATTCTACTTATGTAGAGCTTTCTTATATAGGTACGCCGATATCCGCGTTTTACGGAACCGATAAATGTGCTAAAATTCTGTGCCACGCTTTTTGAACTTCGCATTTAGAGAGGTAGGTTGTGCTGTGTTTTGTCGCCTTATTTTTTATAATTTCATATTAACATTTTTAATAATATAATTTTTAGAAACTAGAATGATTATACTTTAAGAATTTGTGTTTTTTGATTACTATTACGTACTTTATAATTTGATTTCTTGACATGCAAAACTTTGTTAACTTTGCACATCCAGCAAATATCGAAGATATTGACAGCAATTGAGATTTTTTCGCAGCCATTTAAGTTTACCCATTTTTTATTTGTCTGCCAAATTTCGTTGAAAAAAAATGGGGCTTAAGCAGTCTATTTTGGGGCCCACTTTTGGTACCTACTTTCCTTAATCTAAAATTTTTTGCGGGCGATCGGGGGGTGCAAAAACATCGAATTCTTTAACTTTGAAAAAAAAATAAAACTTTTTTGTAAATTTTTTATTTTTATTAAATTTTACTTTTTTTTTAGATAAAATTAGTGAAGAGATAAATTGTAAGATTACCAAAATTTTTATTTTCATTTTCCAATAAATTTATTAGTTATCTTTTATGCAAATAGTATCACTATTTACTTAGATATAATAATACTTAGTAATGCTAAGATTTTCTAATCTTTGCCTAATCTAATAACAGTATTTCTGAGTAATTGTATTGTTTATTTAGTAAGAAGTACATAATGGTAGAAATTTATGTTTCTGTGTATGATTCTATGTTTCAAAGTCAGAATCTATATCAATAAATATTGATATAATAATACTATTAGTACTATTACTAATAGTATTATTATTATATATATATATATATATATATATATATATATATATATATATATATATATATATATATATATATATATATATATATATATATATATATATATATATATATATATATATATATATATATATATATATATATATATATATATATATAACTTTTGTTTAAATAAAACTGATATAAGTTGTTTGAAATAGTTCCTTTGTTATGATTGTTTAGGTGCACAAGCTATTAAAAGCTTAAATGAAAAATTAAGTTAGTAATTCTATTTTGTTATTTAGTTATTATTTATTTAATTATTTAGTTAGTAATTCTCATTTATTGAATCTATTTTATTCTTAATTCTATTTATATTAAAACTGCTTTGTTATTTTATTTATTATGTTTTTATATAATCTTATAATAATATAAAATTCTAACAATGTAAATCACAATGAAAATAAAATATAACTGTAATGAACTAACAAAAATAAAAATAAAAACCATTATTATAGTTATAGCTTTTTTTTTAAGTTATTTGTTCGCAATTGGTTATTTTTGTTTTTTTAGACACTATGGAGAATACAATAAGTATGCATTTTATTGTATCATCTAATACTTTGTTAAAAATAAATTATTGTTTTTCAATTTCAGATTTATTTACTATTAGTTACTATTTATTTTTAAGACAATTTAGTTAACGCTTGTAAGTAAATTTTGTTTTTGGATTTAAAAAATTTAATATGCAATTTATGTATAAGACCAATTTTGAATATATAGTTTGTGTATATGAAGCAAAAACTTGAAAATTGTATTATTACTAATTTTTTTTATAAATAGGTTTATAATAATTGTTATTCTTTAGTGAAACCTTCATCAAGTTCCTCAAGAAAGTTTTTCATGGTAAAATGGTAGTTCAGTGGTCTATGCAGGCAGCACGTAGAAAACGAATAAAAACTCGACTACAACATTCTGAAATTAGAGCTGAGATTTCTAAAAGACAGACTAGAAAACGCCAAAAAATCGATGAAAAAGAAAAAAAAAAGTTAGATCAACAATTAACATTATTAACTATTAGTGAAATTCTGAATTTATTTAAAAACTTATCTACTAAGCAAATTGATGATTTAAATGATGTTATGTGTGAAAGAATTGATGGGAGAAATTTTTGCCATGAATGGTATGATTCCGATACAGCAATGACAGTCTTGTATAATGGCAGAGTATAAAAACTTAAAAAAGCACAGAAAGGCATTATATACACTATTTCTTATTGGACTAGAGAGGAAAATGATACTGAAACAGTTGATTATTATATGAAAAAATTCCAGCTAGTTGCTGACATTGTATCCGGTGAGTTGATGTTTTCCTAATGTAAATATGTTGCATTTATTTTTTTATTATTGGAAATGCATTTGATAATCTTGCTACTTTATTTTACTATGGTTGACTCTCTATTTCTAAATCTCTCTCTCTCTCTCTCTCTCTCTCTCTCTCTATATATATATATATATATATATATATATATATATATATATATATATATATATATATATATATATATATATATATATATATATATATATATATATATATATATATATATATATATATATATATATATATATATATATATATATATATATATATATATATATATATATATATATATATATATATATATATATATATATATCAATAATATGCAAATGTACAGCGAGAAGTGGTACTTGCACAAAAACTTTATAGCGAGTAGTGGAATTTGCAAAAAAAAAATATAGCAAGTAGTGGAACTTGCAAAAAAAAAAAAAAATAGCAAGTAGTGGAAATTGCAATAAAAAAAATATAGCGAGTAGTGGAACTTTGCATAAAATATATATAGCGAGTAGTGGAACTTGCAAATTTTTTTGATAGACGGCTCTGGCTTACATTCACGTCGTGTCTATTGTTAACAATGGTTAATATATAGTTTCATTAATGGAATTTAACATCTTAATCATTAACTAAAAGCCAAGACGCAAACTAATTAGAATAATATTATAAAACATTTTTTGTTTTTGAAATTCTTTTTTAGGTCAGAGGGGGAACCATTTATAACATCACAAAGCATTGTGTGATGTATTTTGAGTTTTGGTAAAAGATGTTTTTAAATTAAAGTTTATTATTTTAATTGCATTTAAATATTTTTATAAATCTCAATAAAATTTTTTTTTTCTTTTTTAGGTTGTAAAAAAAAAAAAAGGAGGGGGAACAACACGCCCCCTCCCCCATTTACACCCCTTGAAACAAGGGGTGCGCTGCTAGTGATTTTGTAAAGTAGTAAAATATAATTTTTGATTTGAATAGTAGATTTCTTTTTAATTATAAAGATAAATATTTATATAAAGAGTCATTTTTGATAATAGGGTGTTTGAAACCATCACCCTTACATCCACCCAAAGGCAATGATGAATATTCTATATTTGATTGTGGTCTGATAGCTAATAACAAAAACATCTTGCATATAAAAAATTTACATTTTCATTAAAAAAAAACACTTTTTTATAAATATAGTACGTCTTTATTGCCGGTAAGGATGCTGGTTTTGTGCCCCCTCTTACTCCCCGGATGCGCCCGTAATCTAGAAACCTTTGTAAATTTGTAGATGACTTTTGTATCTATCTTTTGATACCAAGATATAAACATTTGGATAAGAATTGGTTAAGTTATAATAGTTTTAGTTAATAAAAAGTTTATTTTGACCACAGTTTCTTCAACAAATCCTATTATCAAAAAATCGGTACTTAAAACGTCATAACTTTTTGTAGGGTGGTTCGATTTTGAAAATTTTTTCACTTTTAGAATATTGACATTAAGCTCTTTTTAATAATATATAACAACCTATAATTTGATGAATTTAAAAATTTCATGTGACATACCTATCTTATATTGACAAACATTTTGTTTTAAGACCAATGACTAGTCAAAAATAATTTATTGAATTATGAGATTAAATCAATAAATAATCATTAAAATCAATTAAAATAAAAAGACTCAATTTAAATCATTATTTTTATTTGTCTGATTTAAATCATGATTTAAATTGAAACAACCCTTTATATTCCATCTTTCTGAGGCTGAGGGACATTATTCTTGGTTTTATAATTTTTAATTTAATATCTCTGGATATTTTTCATAATTAATTTGCGTAATGCAATTAACAACATTAAGCTTATACATTAACTTTGATTATAACTTAATTATTAATAATTTGATTTATAGATTTCTATAGCAATACAAGATTGAATTTAGCAGAAGGCTAAACTTCTGCTCTGGAGACAAAAAAGGAAGATAGCGAAAATAACCAGCCAAAATAAAGATTAAAGAGACAAAAAATTGTGTATATCTTGGTGTAGATGATTTATCCTCAATTTCTTATAATAAAACTAAAAATATTATTAAACTTTGGGATTTATCTGTACCTACAAACTCGTTACAGAAGTTCAATGTTTGCTCTGAGAAGTTAAATGAACAAAATTTATTAAATGGTAAGTTTTTATAAAAAATTCTTTATGTCTTATGATTGAAAATCTTTATTCTTAGCTTTAACTTTTATAATTTTAAAGACTTTTTCATATATTACGGTCAAAAAGTCAGAGTGTAACTAACATTTTATTTTATAATAATCAACATATCAAAGCTTACACCACTGGCTTAATCAGAAAGCGGGAGCGATCGCTCCTGGATACTGAACACCGAAATTATATTTAGTTGCGAAGAACTATCCAGTTTTTAGTCGTTTTGAGAACATTTATGTTTATGAACGTAACAAAAATTTTTTGTTGGATTTCAAAGTCACCAACTTTGATATCCATTTGAAATCAACTGTTGAAAAAAACAACAGACTGTTCATATCAGTTTAATGTTTTAACAGTTGCTGGTGGTTCATTATTATTTATTATATAAACGTTTATTTAAATCTAAATCTAATAGACAAAGGTAATACAATATTTTCAAAGATGATATTATTTTTTAAATTGTATTATTAAAGTTCAGAACTAAAATATGTAAAAAAAAATTATATTCAAACATTGGACAAGGTCTGTACTGTACCTGGAAAATCTGGAAAATGTGTTAATATTGGCCAAAGTGGTGGAAAACTTGGAAAAGTCAGGGAATTATTTTTTTTTAGATAGTCATGGAAAAGTCAGTAATTCTATTTAAGAAGTTACTCATTTTGCAATTGAACACTGTATTTTGAAAACGTGAATAGTCACACTTTTTAAAATTGAGGTTATTTGAAAAGAATTTTTTTTTTAGTAAAAGATAAAAATTATAAGATAAAAAAAAGATTTTTTAGATAAAATAAAGATTTTTTTTTGATAAAAAAAATAATTTTTAGTTAAAAAACAACATTTTTTTTAGGAAAAATATTTTTTACTCTCCTGTAAAATTTTAATTTTGTGACTTGTCACAGTTTCAAAATACAGCGCTCAATTAAGCTATTATTTTATTTTTTTTGGTGCTACTAATTTATTTTTTCTGAAACATGTTTTTCTTAGTGTTCATTCTTAATCATCCTTAATAATAAGAACCATACTAACATGTATAATAAGATTTATACTAATATCTAACTTAAGTAATAGCTAAGTTTTATAAGTTTTGTCATTGAAAACATGTATATTCTTAGCATTTCCATTGCAGTAGATAGTAATTTTAAACATTTTGTAAAAACCATTGTTAAAAATCGTCAGGGAAATTCATCTGATTTTTCAAAAAAGTCATTTAATTTTATATAAATAGTTGGCTACAAACCCTGTTTGAGAAACATTGTTTTAATATGAGTTTTTTGTTTTACATTGCAATGTGTATCTCAAACATTAATAAGAATTGTTTTGTGTCAGTCCCAGAAATTGAATGCACACCTGCAAATTTCATAATTCATAAAAATATTATGAATCCATTAGCAAGTATATATTTTGATCATTAAAAGTTTGGCCCTCTGTCTTTAATTTTATCTGTTTTGATAGTGATTGTTGTATTTACTTTCATAAATACTAAATATAATATATAATTAGTTGTATAGTTTCTTAATAATATAATTAACTTTATTGTTTCAAGATAAAGTTGTATCCTTGAAAGATATACTGGTATTATTGGCACAATGGGCAAGCATTGAAGTGCAACTTGGTGAACTACAAAATACATCAAATTCAGTTATAAAAATTTGAGTATCAAAGGTATGCTAATTATTGTATTGCCTGAAAGAGTGTCATTGCCATTAAAAGCAGTGAAGAATTCAAGTACACTGGAAGAAAAAAGACAAGAAAACACTTCAGTAAATGATAAATATTTTTTTATGATCTGTTTATGCATTTAGTATGATATGTAGTACAATTTATATACTTTAAATAAAATACTATTTGAAGATTTTTTGTAAATGACATTTTATATTAATTTTAGTCTAAACTAAAGTTACTTTAATTACTGCTAGGCTGTGTATTTTTGCAAGTTAATTATTTGGCACAAATGGAGTTGAAGACGAAGGAGATTGTATTTGTTATTTACTAAAAATAGTTTATTAAAATGGCCTAGCTGTAAAATTAAATTATGCAGGGAGAGGATAAAAAATTGGAATAGGAAAAATGTTGATTGCATATGCTGCTATTGATAAGTGGTTTAGAAAAGTTTATTTCTTCAGTTTCAATTCTGTATTACAGAATTACTTTCAATTTGTTATGTTTCTTTGGTGCATAATTAAACAATCAACTATTTTTTTTTGCAGAAACTGTGAAGTCAATTAAGCATGGCTTATGCAGACATGTGATAGAGATAGCGGAAGAAAAAATAATAATCGCTGGCACCAAATATCATAAGCTAAACACGATTCAATAACAAGTAGCTCAGTCAATATCGAAACTGCTCTATAAATTTTATAGTGAATTTTTTTATTTAAAACTCAATGTGTCAGTTTTTGGTATAAGTTTGGTGTTTGCAATATGTATATTTAACCGAGAAATTATGTTTAATAAATAAATATTTATACTTGTATAATACATTCTTTTTTTTCTCTATAATTTTTCAATGTAGCGATGCAAATCATCTTATTTGTAACAACGATCTAATGTTGCATAAAACGTTAGGCCAATATAAAAATAATAATCGTATAACATACGATATTGGGCCAATTTTGTATACAACGTTGGGCCAATGTTGTATAAAACGTTGGGCCAATGTTGTATACAACATTGGCCCAACGTTATATAAAACGTTGTGCCAATGTTGGGTAACAACATTGGCACAATGTTGGGTAACAACATGGGGTATACAACATTGGGCCCATGTTGTATACAACATTGGGCCAATACCTAACCAATGATCAAACCTGCATTGGGCCAACATCGACTTTCAACGTTGGGCCAATGCATCACAATGCATAGGCCCAACATTGGTCCAATGTAAGCTTGCTGTCTGGGATTTGCCATTTTTTCATACTCGATTATAATTAAAATC